TTTTAATTTCTCTCTTCCTAAAGCCATCACTGCAAGCTTTTGTCTGTTTTTGAGTAGACAGCCCACTCTCACTGAGAATATAGTGTTATTTTCATGATTGTTGCTGCAGTTCATCAAATATTGACATCTGCTAGGTGGATAGTTGGTACCCACATTAGGAGTACTAAAGAGAATAGCTGTTCATTGCATCTTGATTTGACTTTGTGCTGGATTGAGGGATGGCCTGGGGGTCTGGGGGAGGGGGCTTTGTCAACATGAATAAATAGATGGTTTAAAGAAACATGTCTGTGTGTCGTGAGGGTAAGTGGTATAAAGTTCTAAGACAGCTTCCTTTCCAGCCCTATTTTCACAAAATTGCCTGTAATCAGCTCTCCCATGAGCTTCAGTGCTCTCCATCTGCAGCTGAGAGCCACTCTGAGGTTAGATATTCCTTCCCAGCTTTGAAAACATCAAAGCAACTATATCCAGTCTAATCTTGACAACTGAAAGCCCACAAATGCTTTGGAGTTGCTAATAGAAAATGGCTTTTGGACAGGAAGATTTGATCCATGTGGCCAAGTACTTTCAGGGGCTTATGTAAAACTAAACTGGATTTGTATAGTAATAATGCAATATAATGATGCTTTTAAAAAACACCTAGTATATTCCAGAGAATGGCTAGATCCTGGAGCTGGAAAAGGCTGCCTTTCTAACATTCCGCTTGTTTACTCTGTTTTGTACCTGGCTACCTTCGCATCTTTAAAACTTCACTTTGATTTACTAAGGCCTGTTTGTGGTCATGAGATGTGGGTAACTGCTTCAACGTGACTCATGGGACCTATGGAAGGGGTTCTTTTCAAAGCTTTTTTTTGTCAGAATTCTCTCTCTTGGGTTTAGACATGCCTTATTAACTAAGTCCCAGCATGTGTGATTCCTGCATTCTAGCGTGGCAGGCAGAACCAGTTTTCTTGCCTAGAAGGCCTGGTCACCAAGTGGGGTAGGCCTAGCAGGCAGGAGCCAGCATGGCTGTGCAGAGAGCAGATGGCACCGGTGGTGGGAGGGACAGCCCCTGCCTGGTGCAGGGTGGCCGTCCTAGCCACCTTCAAGTCATTTTCCCACCACAAGATCTTTGTATAGACTGTCCTAAAAGTAGACTTTCACTGGTGAAGGAAGGAGAGCCTAAAAGATCAAGGGGCATCTGAACTCACATAGCCATTTCTGAGTAGAATTAGAAGCTGTTCAGCCTCCTCTAACTCCTAGAGTGGTGAATGGGTAGGGCAGTTTTTCTGTGTGTATATAGTCATTCTGTAAAGCAGATGGCAGGGTAGCTTGATTATGTATTTAAGTAAGGTGGGCTCTTCATAAAATGTGCTACTGTGTCCTTTTACTGTGAATGGAAGTATAGCATTCACATTTAAGAGGACTGAAGGATAAACTGAAACATAACCATTTAGCACTGAATGTGCAAATCTAGAACTCTTATTCAACAATTTCCTCATAGTAGAAACCATCATAGTAGCTCAGACCAAAGATCATCTAGTCTAGAAATTTTCCTCTGTTGCTGTGGGGGAGGGATGGTGGCTTTTAGTCCTTCTGATGCTGGCATACTTATGTAAGAGATGATTCCCTTACTATCTTTATGTTTCTATTATTGAGAAAATAATCCCAGCCTTTCCTGAACTATCTTTTATTTTCTGTCTTAATTGCCTTTTGGTGCAGTGAATTCTATATTCAGAATAAAACATTCTTGAGTACTTACTGTGAGAGTTGCTCTCATATCTGTTAGCTATATATTTATTCCTCTCTGTGGCAGAGGAGAGGCTGTAGACATCACTGATTCACTTTTTCAATTGAAGTTACAGAAATATTTTGTAGAACAGCTGTGATAAAGGGAGGCTAGAAAGGAAATGGGAGGCTGAAGAGATGGGATGCCATTTCCAACATGGAAGGCAGGACTGGTGAACCTCAAGTCTGCACCTGAGTTTTCAGGGGAATCAGATAGAGGTGAGGGTCAATTGCATATCCTGGTAAATGTACTAAAGTGTAAAAATGCAGCATGGGGAGTATAAATATTAAGCATTAAAACCAGCACACTTCCTTATGACCATCTTGGGCTTGTAATTAGTTGGTTGAAACTGGTAGGTATGTTCCATACTTTCGTCCTTGATGAAAGTGGCAGAATAGGGATTCGAGCTGGAGTCGAGGTTCTTCAGATGCTCAGTCCTAAGTGTATCCCATCATCTATTGTCAGCTTGTGATACATGAGAAAGCCCAGTCCTCTGAAAAGTCATTTCCCACCGACTGTTTGCTCTTATTTAAATCTGAGGGCTTCCTTCCAAAGAGAAGTTTAGAAATCCTGTCACTACCCCTGTCTAATCCCATAGATTCATGGACACTTGTTCGAGAACCTTTCAGTTTTTAATATCATCTTGAAAGCTAGCTAAGGGACTTACAGATTCTGTGGAATTTGTAACATGTCCTCCTATGGAGAACTTGAGATTTTATAGCAACAGACAGTAACGAATTTGGAGTTTTCCATGTGACTGAGTATTTTAAAGAGAGAAACTGGGTCTGTACTCTGGGAATGATACAGTTGGGAAAAGACTAACTCAGTCTTTGCAGATACTTATTCGGTATGGAATATCTGGGTTAGTTTATGTAAGATGAGATAGTAATGGAATTAAACAGTCTCTGCATATCATGTACACTTACTGTCTTTTTAGAACCCCGCAAATTTTCCTTTTCGGTTTCTTGTAGAGATGGCTAGGAGAGCAAAATTCCCCAAAGTCAGAGGAGAAGTGAGGGAGGAAGAGTCTCTGGATAACGGACACTGCCTGTACTTGGTAGGCAGAATACAGCATCTCTAAGGTTTGGTAATGAGCTTTGCTGTAAAAGATTAACCATAGGCAGTCTGCCCTTGTTCTCATAAAGGAATTAAGCAATAAGTGATCTGAGGAGGCCCAGGGGTGGAGCAGAATCTTCTCCGTTTCCACCTGAGAGTTGAGCTTCCTGGCTCAGCTTGATTGCCAAAAGAGATGTGGAAAACTGAGGTGTACTTGGCCCAGGTTGGTTAGGAACTGTGCCCTCTAAATCACACCTTTTAGTATATTTTGAGAATGGGAAGGGTGAGGGCTTCTTGCTTAGGACCGGTGCCTGCTGCTTACTTCCAGTACAGATGAAACAGGTGTCTCTTAGATACTAAAAGTTTGTGGTGTGAGAAGGGGCCTATGCCTGCTGTTTGGAAACAGGAGAAAGTTAAGGTTGGACATAGAGGACAGAGGCTCTGACCCAGCACTGGGTGATGGGGGCCCCCACAGAAGTTACCCATCTCTTCCTGCTTCACTTAACTTAAGGTGCTCATCACTCAGAAATGTCGGGATGTTGCAGGTGAATGATCAGTTAAGAACATCTCTGGAGTTAGCATCATGGGCTAAGCGAGGTTTGCACTGTAAGACAGTCACTTCTAGGAAGTCGTTTGAGTTGAGGAACACCAAGAGGGGTAGAAGTAGACTGAGATCTGAAATAGATGTGTGATTGAAAATTGGCCAAGATGCCTTTTCATTTTAACATGGATGCTCTGGCCTGAAATAAAAAGAAGGAACATAGAAGTGATGCCAGGCTTGAGCAAATAGCAGGGGTAGCAATTTTGGGAATTCTACCTAGCAGAGAGTGGACTAGAGAAGTAGGTCCATACATGGGGTCTGAGGCCCCTAGGGGTCCGTGAAGATAGTAATGGGGAAATATGAGCTAATTTCCATTTTATGAAAAGCATAATGAATCATACGTTTACCCTCCGCAGAGCCTTACAGGCTTATCAAAACGTCGGACTCTTTGCCTTTGTCTGTAATTGCATTAGTTTGGTAATGGAATACCAGCCATCTCGTGCTGATGAGAAGCTCTGCTTGACTGCTGATGTTACCTGGGGGGTTTGAATGTGGTTGGTGGACTGTGTGATGCCACTAGGTGGTCACAGCGGACCTGAAGTCACATCAGCCAAAATGTGATTAATCTTAGACTCAAGTATAGGGTGACAGCCACAATTGAATTAAACAAACTACAGGCTACGGTGGTGGAATGTTTGGGGATCACTGGGCTTAAAGGAGCGGTGTGCTGAGCTTCCCCAGCCTGAGCTCTTAAACTCGGCATAGCTCACATATAACTCAGTCTTTGAAAGAAAGTGGAAGCTGACTGATGATCCAATTATAGTCAGTTACCCATTTTGGAGACCATGTCCTAAAAAACCTTGCAAGTGGTTCTTCCTCACAGCCTGCGAGGGCCGCTTAAGACTCAGTACAGAAACAGCCTTCTTTGTGCTCTCCTCCTCTCCTAGCTAAGTAGCGGAAGAGTGAGAGCTAGGGTCAGGTCAGTTGTTGGGCTGTTAAAGGAAGAGATTAAATAGCAAAACAAAAGAAAGAAATGGACCCAAGTGAGTGATGTCTTTACATCTCTTTATAGCAAGATTGAGAAGGCTCACCTTAGATTGTTTGTTGCTGGTGGTGGTCCAGGGAAGTTGGACTCTGGGCTTCAGCTGGTGCTGCTGTTTAGACCATGATGGCTTCTAAGCCCAATATCACCACAGCCCTTGGGCTGCAGGAGCCCCAGGGAAACCTACTGTTTCCAGCAGAAGAAAAATGATGGCTGAGTCGCTCTTAGTGTGAGGAAGCCATTGTATGCCGAGGATTCTGAAGCATGTCGACCACTTTTGTTAAAATTGGGAGGAGGAGTTGGGCTAAGTCCAGAATTGGGGTATTTGCTGTCTGTCCTCTCAGCTGACTGATTGTTTCAGAACTGTGGTGACAGGTTCTGTTTTCTGGAGTATTTCAGGAAGGGAAAATGTTTTCGCACTCTTCTCTGCGAGTACGTGCACATCTGAACAACCTTAGGTTTTTCCTAAGGTTTGCTGGCTTCACGGGTTTCTGTCCACATGCCCCTTGCACATCCTCTCCTACCCCCGGCCCTTCTCGTGTCCTTGGAGAGGGTCTCCATGTCCTTCACTCGCTCTTTTCCTTTCTCCTTCCTAGAGCCAAGCTATGCGAATTGTCCGGACGGTGGGGCAGGCCTTCGAGGTCTGCCACAAGCTGAGCCTGCAGCACACGCAGCAGAATGCAGACGGCCAGGAAGACGGGGAGAGTGAGAGGAACAGCAGCAGCTCAGGCGACCCAGGTGGGCAGCGCCGCTGCTGTGGCTGTGGCTGGACAGGCAGGTGGACTGAGCGCGGGGTGCTGGACCACTCCACAAAGCCCCAGGCCATCAGTTCACTTAAAAAACATTTTATCTTTCCTCTTTCTCTCTAGATTCCAGATTTTCTTTAAGGAATGCTTGTTGCTTTTATAACAGAAAATTAAACATATTTAAACTATCAAACAAGGACGCATTTAAGCTCGTTATCAGGAAAAACGTTTCAAAGGTAAAGCCACTTATGCTACCAAATCTGACTTCAAAGAAAATTTCCGTACAAAAGCACCTTCATAAAACAAATTAGAAAGAAGATAAGTTTACAATTACCTAAACAGTTGTTTTTTTCCTATTTCTAAATTCTATAGTTCTGTAAACCCTCATTGTGGACAGTGTTCCAATGTCCCCAATTTTCAAGTCTCATTAAAAGTCAGGAATAAGACACAGGTGTCTTTTACCATCTGTATCATCTAACAGTAAATGTGAAAAAAAGTATGAGCATTAGAAAAGAGCAGGTAAAAGGTAATATTGTTTATATTTTTTTATGTGGAAAACTCAAGAAAATAAACTGAAAATTATTAGAAATAATAAGAAAATTCAATTAAAGAGGGGAGGTTCAATATTTCATACAGGTAGCTTATGATTTTCATATATCACAATAACAACCAATTCAAAGTCATAGTGGAAGAAAAAAATCCATTAAAGTAACTATTTAAAAAGATTAAATACCTATGAATAATCAGAATAAAAATGTATATGTTTTATATGAAAAATTAGTAAACGAATGGAAAGTTCTTGGATAGGAAACCTCGACATCATAAAAATGTTAATTCTCCTTATGTTAATTTATAGATTTAACATCACAATACAAATTTCTAACAGCAAAGGGTAGGCTATAGTATTCAAAACTTCTGGGATGCAGCTAAAGCGGGGCTCAGAGGAAAACCCAAAGGTTCAATTATTTACGCTAATAGACGACCAATCATGAAAATCAAACTAATTAAGCATCCAACTCAAGAAGTTAGGAAACAAAATAAATCTCATCTTGCAAAAGGCGGTATTGCAAAGTGGTTGAGGGTGCAGGCTCTTGGTTTCCAGCGTTCTAGCTGTGCCAGTCACTGGCTGTGTGATTTTATACAAGTTCCATAAGTTTCTGTCCCTAAGTTCTTTTTCTGAAAAAAAAAAAACAATAATAGTATTGTCTACCTCATAGAATTATTGTGATGATTAGATGAGCAGATGCATTTAAAATGCCAAGTCTGGTGCTTAGCACATAGTTGATACCAAACACATGTTAGCTATTATTATTTTAAAATAAATAGGGAAAAATGAAAAAGCAAGATTAGAAAAAAATTCTTGAGAAGATGAGTGATGACAGAGGAGTGGTTTTCATTCCTGTGGAGAACAATGTGGAAATCACTATTAAATTTGAAAATTAAATTTGAAAATTCACATGCCTCTTGACTCCCAAATTTCCCTTAACTTCCCTTTTAAGAATTTATTCTAAAGGTAGACTCCTACATATGTGAAATGATGCATTTCACATAAAGTATGTAAGCAAAGATTTTGTTATAAAAGCAAAGAATTGGAAGCAGCAGGAGGGGATTTTAAAATAAATTATAGTATTTATTATTGTGGAATAATGCTTACTCTATGCCAAAATGAACATGGAGATTGAGTAGAGATTTCAACAGGGAATGACTCTTAAACAGTCCCCTTGATGAGGAATGATGACCTTTGGTGGGGATGGGGGGTTGGGTAGAATTGAGATGATAAAGCCTGGAGGGTGAGACTGGGAGGCTGCCCAGAGTGCTGATGAGGAGGAGTGGTGGGGGCTATGGCTGCAGATGGAGACCAACGTGGTTACGCTCTTTCTGCTGTAACTGGGGGTGAGCATTGAAACAGTGGGCCCACCGGTATGTGCACCTCTCCTTTTCCTTACCTTTTTGGTGATAATTTTCTCAAATCACAGTAATATATGTGAGACCTCAGCTACTTGGCATCTTCTGTATACCACTCTCCCTAAGAAGAATATAACTGATGTTCTACATGGAGAAACATCTGGGTCCATTTTAGGAAAACTTGTCAGGCCCACTATAGTTTCTTCAGAATTTAAGATGTCAAACAAAGCGCCAAATGTGTCTTTAAGGAGGTCAAGCATGGGTGGGATGTGCTCTCTATAAATCATATCGGTGTCCCTGCAAAGTAAGGGAAGTGGCAGGGGCTCTCCCCTCCTCGTGTAATGAGGATATGGCCTGTGGAGTGATGTAAATTGTGTTAGGGAGATATACATATACACCTACATATACATGTACATGTAGATTTTAAGGAATTTGGCTCATGCAATTGTAGAGGTGTGGCAAGTCCAATATCTAGAGGGTAGGCCAGCAAGCTGGAAACCCAGGGAAGAGTTGCAGTTTGAGTCCAAAGACAGCCTACTGCCATAATTCCCTCTTCTTTCAAGGAGGTCAGTCTTTATTTTATTAAGGCCTTCAACTGATTGGATGAGGTCCACCTACGTTATGGAGGGTAATATGCTTTACTTCAAGTCTACTGATTTAAATATTAATCTCCATCTAAAAAATACCTTTACAGCAACGTTTAGGATGCTTGACCAAATATCTGTGCACTGTGGCCTAGCCAAGTTGACACAAAATTAACCATCACAGACTTGAAGAGGCAGTGTGGTGTGGTGGAGAGAACGCTGGAACAGCAGACTAGAGAAGCACCTAAGAGCTTGGGTTCTGGTGCCAGAACAACTGGCCTTGAATCCTGGCCCTACCACTTTTCAGCTGGGTGATCCTCCACAAATTGCACGGTCTCTCTGGATCTTTCTTTTCATCTCTGCCACATGTTGTGAGATAACGCAGGTAAACCAGCATTGTGCCTAGCGTGTAACACACTCTACATACATGTTAGCTAGTTTTGCAGTTCTGAGTCTGAAATGCGTGCCCCCAGCTATACAGTGAGGAAAGGAGACAAGATCTGTGAAGTCCCATGGTTTTATGGCAGGTCCAAGTTAAATGATGCATCAGGTGCCCTGCAATCAGATTGCAGTGTAGGTAGGGCCATGGCCATGAGGCTAAACCTGCTCTGAGTGGTATTAGCTCTTGGACTACTGCATACAGATCTGGACTGGAAACGTTTGCTTATCAAGGAGGCTGCTTACTCCCTGACCCCACCATCACTTCCTTTTTACTGCCCCACTTGCTTTCTTACTGTCTGCAAACTGCTACACACACATTTCTTCTTTCCGTAAAGGCTTCCCCCAGAAGCCTGTATCAACTCCATTAGGATTTTTCTCTGTATTGGGGCACCTTGAAGCTCCAGAGTAGAACTGTGGGTTGGCAGTTTTTTTCTTTACGAGAATCTCGCTTCCATGTTAGGGAGTTTTTTCTTTAATGCAGTGTTTATTTTTCCAGTGGAGCTGCCCCGCGTGATGGGATGGCATGCCCTTTATTGTACAGAGAAACTTGTTTACTCTGGAGGAATTGGAAAGCGTAGGCTTTGCTATCTTCTTTGATGTCTCATCAGCCCCTTTCCCTTCTGAGTTTTCACTTTTAACGATGTTGCTCACTTTCATTGTGTGTGCTGCCCCTCTCTTCCCCTCTCCGTGCCTGCCTTTCTTTCCTTCCTCATTCTTTCCACTGTTCCCTGCCGTGGGGGGGAGATTTATCTTTTGTATCTTTTGGCAGTAGCTGCCCTTGGCCATTCCCTGGGGCTCAGAGCCAGGTGGGGCCGCTGCTCCTGTTCAGCTTGCCTTGCTTTGCCCTGTGCGGGTCTTTGACTCCTGGAGAGGGTTTCCTGGGAGAGATCTTGTTCCCTTGGAGGCATCCCTCCTCCCACGGTGGCAGACAATCCAACATGGGAAAGGGCTTGGAGCCCTTGGGAAGAATAGAGCTTCTTAAAAATGAAACTCTCACCATCTAGACAATGAGCAACGTATTCAGGAATATTCATTGTGTACCTGTTACACCTGTTGGACCTGGACATCCTGCTCACTCAGAATAGCAAGCACACCACTGACCTCCTACACTTCTCCCCCACCACACCTGCTCCTCTGTCTCCTCAGGAGACGTCTGCCTGATCCTTTGTTTCTCCTTACTTGCAGCTCCTTCCTTCATTCAACAGATGTTTATCAAGTTTCTCTGATGGGCCAGGCTCGATTACGGGTACTGGGGATACTGTGAGCAAGACACCAATGGCCCTGCTGGTGAGGAGCTGACACTCAAAGTACGATTGGGGGATGCAAACACGTGACAAATAAACAAGATCATTTTAGAGGGTGTAAGTGCAATGAAGAAGATAAAGCAAGGTAGGTCGTGCTACTGGCACGGTTAGGTAATCCGGCAATACCTATCCCACTTAGCGCTGTGACACTGAACAGCCCTGGGGAAACAGCCATCCACACAGACTGGTCCATTACACACCTGTGGTCCCCAGACTCGGCCCAGGCAACTTCACCATTCAGCAGTCCTTGTGCTTGTCCCCAGCATCCGTCTCGGTGGACGATGTCCTTCCCCTGTCCAAGATTAACCCTTGCACCTGCCTCTGCTTTCCACCCTCATCTCGCCTATTCCGGAACGCTGAGCCCTCAGTTATCTCCCTCTCCTGAATCTTCACCTGAATCTTCTACTGTGCTGAATTTTTCCCCACTGCAGATAAATCAGGTCAAGCTTTTCTCATCTTAAAAGGAAATCAAGCCCTTCTCCAGCATCTCCCCCAGCCTTATCTCCTTCCTTTCCTTCATAGCCAAGCTTCTTGCCAGACTTATCTATACAGTTGTCCCTCCGTATTGGTGGGGGATGGGTTCCAGGACCCCCACAGATATCCAAATCCCCGGATGCTTAAGTCCCTTATAGAAAATGGTGAAGTATTTGCATGTAACCGGCATACATCCTCCCGTATACTTTAAATCATCTCTAGATTACTTACCTAATACAATGTAAGTGCTATGTAAATAGTTGTTATACTGTATTGTCTAGGGGATAATGACAAGGAAAAAGTCTGTATGTGTTCAGTACACAGTCATCGTAGTTCTTTCATCTGTGGTTGGTTGAATCTGAGGTAGGGAGGGCTGACGGTACTGTACTCACTTGTCTGCTTCCTTGTCTTGCCCCACCCTCGCCATTCACTTCAGCCTCCAGAGATCTGGTGTCTGCTGCTGCCAGCCCTTCCTGAACCCACCAGTCAAGGTCACTGAAGGGCCTCCTAGTTAGCAAATTGAACTGGCTTTTTCTGCAGTGTTCACCCCTGGGAACGAAGGCTCACCTTCCCCGTTGCTGGAGGATCCCTATCCCTCACCCCACGCTCTTTCCTTTTTCTCTGCTCGCTGCTTTCCAGCATCCTCTGCAGGCTCTTCTGTTTTCCTCTTGCGTGTAGGGATTTCTCCTGGGCTTGGTCCCTGGTGCTATTTTTGTCTTCCTATAGGTTCAACTAAGGTTTATCTCCAAGCAAGACCTTTTTCCTTAACTCTTTGCTTACGTCCCCAGCAGCCCAATGGATATCTCCGCCTGGCTGTTACACAGATTCTTGCAATTTCAACAGGTTTAAAACTAAGTTCATCCTCTTGTCCACAATCCTCCTCCTCCTGCGACTTCCCTAAATGATGCCAGTCTCCACTCAGTCACCTAAATCAGAAATTTAAAAACTCATCCTATGCATGTATATGTATTCCTCTCTCCCTCTCCCTGACCCTCTCTCTCTCTTGCCACAGACAATTGGTCTCCAAGTCCTGTCAGTTCTGTACCCTGAAGATCTTTCAAATCTGTCCCCTCTTCTCTGCGTGTTGCCACCTCCTTAGCTTAAGCCCTCGTATTTCTCACCTAGAATATTGCTTTCTGTCTTGTCCCTTCGAGATCTGTCCTCCACATCATCTCTAGGGTGAAATTTGAAAGAGTGAAAATCTTTTGGTATTACTCATCTACTTCCCATCCTTCAGGATAAAATCCCAACTCTTCCTGGTCAGGTCCCTCCCTACAGAGCCGTTTGCAGGGCCTGCACCATGCCCTGGACTGCCATGCCTCTGTGTCTTTGCCCCCGCCTTGCCCTCTGCCTGCCCGCTCCTCCCCTCCCCCATGCCCACCACTTCACCTGCTTTATTAGCTGGTACCCCTTCCTCAGGTGGTGTTTTCCCCTCTGCACAGGCTTCTCTCACCCCCACCTGAGTTAGATGTTCCTCTTCTATTGTCTTGCACCCTGGATAGCTCCCTCATAGGCGACACAGCCTCATGCTGCATCTGTGGTTTATGTCTGTTTCCTCCATCAGGTTGGGGAAGCATTGAAAGCATAGGTTTTGCTTCTTCATCTTTATGCCTAGTAGATTTCTGTCATATACAAGGTGCTTAATAAATTCTTCTTGAATAAATGAGTAAAGTAAGTGTATGTGTCCTGGCTTCTAGTTACTATTCAATGTATCAGGTAGAAATAGTTTAAATGAGCAGTTCAGAAAGCAGCACTGCCCTCTACCCCCGAACTCAGTCTTACCTCTCCCTATTACAATTTGGAATCCATAGTCCCCTATCCCATGAGTTTCTTGGTTTTGCTAGGAGGATTTTCATATCGTTTCTTATCCCTTGGGCTTCTTGATGCCAGGAAAGTTGCAAATACCAGATTACCTCCCTTGTCTGATAGGACCTGAAGAAGACCACTAGCTGTGGGTCCCTCCTCATGATCTTGTCTTATTTGATAAGCTAACAGACACACACAGTCATTTTAGCCCTCCATCCAGCATGTTCTTTCCATCTACCCCAGCCTCACCCTTCCCGGTTCTAATAGATCTGTTACTATACTGATCTCTACCCATGAGCTATATTAAATCTAGAGGACTTCAAATGTGATCATCAGAGAACCCACTGGGTGGCGGGAAGTCCCTCAGAAAGCGGTCCCATGGTTTGTGAGTCACTTACCTGGGCCTTGGTTTGGGAACTCCACTCTACAAACCAAATGGCTGCAAAGTTGGTTTTTTTGACTCCCCAGAAGCGGAGCTAGAACCTGAGAGATTGTCTGATCCCTCCAGGGCTTCTGGCATGGGCATCCTCAAACCCTATGTGTGGGGCTGCTTGGTCCTTGTTATTAGGATCTCCAGGGATGAGGGTAGGGGGCAGCTGCCTCCTATAGCCCGCTCCCCTGTTTTGCTGTCTTGTCATGACACTATTTCCTTTGTCAGTATTTATTGAACACCTTCTCTGTGCTGGATCCTTAGGAAACAGATGGATGTGACACAGCCCTGGCCTCAAGACTAGATGGAAAAACTGACAGCCATGCACATCCAATATCATGTGCTAAGTGCACTGACAATGGATGCACGGTGCTGCGAGAACCAGCTCCTCCTGATGACTGGTGGAAATCTCTCCTGCTCAAACACATGCCCATTTCACCCTGGCCATCCCTCTGCGGGCATGGAGAACCAGATGCTCGGTTCCCAGCACCATCCACCTACTGAAAAATAGCCATGAGTTATCCGTTAGCCCGCTCTCCCTCAGCCTAAACCTCCCAGTGATCAAGAGGGTCACTTCTGGGTGTAGGAGGTGGTATAAAGCAGCCTGCTCCCTCTGCTCCTGCCCACTGGTTTACAAAGGAGCAGAAGAGCTGCCCTGCTAGACCATCGTTTCTTTTATACACCATTGCAACCCTCAACGGGCCGTCTCCCCAGGTCCCAGAGCAGCAGGGAGGAAAACCTAGCACGCCATTTGCTTTCGAATACCAGGCTTGCTTCCCCAGAAGATGTGTAGGTTTGCATGGGAAGACTTGTTAGAACTGTTTGTTTGACAAGGCAGGCGCTCAAATGACCGGGGCCTGGCTCCCTGGGTCGGCTTTAGGGCTAGGGCGTCAGCTCTCCGTATTTGCTGCTAACTTTAACCTGTTCCATTTTTGAGTTGGTGCTTGGTCTCTCAAAGCTTTTAAGAAATCTTATTTGAAGACAGTAGTAATGAATCTAATCCCAAATGTAGAGAAAGAAAATATTTCCTGGGAAATGCCAAGAAATCGCCAGAGTTGATAATTTATAGAGTCTAAGAAAGAGAGAGGAACAAGAGAATGAAAAAGAAATAGTAGGACTCACATACATACGCTGAGCATGGTCACTGTCCTCAGTGGGAACAGGGAAAGTGGGGAGAAGACGGACACACTAGAGGAGGAAGTGTGGGAAACCAGGCCACCCCATCTCTCTCCCACCACTGCTGCCTTCCGCAGGCCCCTTCCCTGGCATCTGTGCTTGGGGGCAAGGTCAGAGTCAGGCTCTGAAGAGTGGGAAACTGATACTGTATTGGACGGGGCCTCCAATCTCTTTGTCCTTTTTCTTCAGGCAAGCAGCCCTCCTCGTCCATCTAACTCAGCCTCTAATTTTATAGTTGAAACTGGGGCCCAGGGAGTGAGGTGATGTACTCCTTGTCCCTTGTCCGGCAGCCCATCAGGGCCACGGCTGGGGAAGCCCCACGTGTCTGGCCCCCCAGTTTGGGATCTTTTCCTGGGCTGATTCCACTCCTGAGCCAGGATGAGGTTGAGGTGGCTGCCACTCCCTTATTGCAGAGTCCCCATACCCTGTCAATATAAACATGCCAACTGGGCAAAGCCGTCACATCAGGCTCAAGGAAATGTCATCTTTGTTTCTGGACTTTAAAAAGATATTAAAATAGGAACATCTTACTGGATTGGAAATTTAGTGTACCTGAGTGAAAAGATAGGTGAATATGTTTCGAAGTCAGTGGCATCCCTATGCGTGACATCACTGAAGACTAAAGTGGTAGGAAAGGAGGTCATTGTTCTTGGTGTCACCATTCCCTTCCCACCTTCTCTGTTGTCCCTGCAGGCCGCCAGCTCACTGGAGCCGAGAGGGCCTCCACGGCCACCGCGGAGGAGACTGACATCGATGCAGTAGAGGTCCCGCTCCCAGGGAATGACATCCTGGAATTCAGCCGAGGTGTGACTGACCTTGATGCCGTAGGGAAGGAAGGAGGCTCTCACACAGACTCCAAGGTAGGAGAAGGTGGCCCATCCAGGTGATCTGCACATAGGCCGCCTCTTGGAGTAGGCTGTGTCACAGCGTCAGCTGCGTCTGTCACTCCTGGCCCCTGCTGGGTCAGCTGCAGAGTGAGGCACTGGGCAGCACGGGGCGGTCCCAGAGCGTGTTTCATTTCCTCTTAGCGAGGCCTGACTTCTGGAAATCTGGCTCCGTGTGCTGATGGCATTCACTGCTGTGTGTCAGGATGCCGCAGAGCTCGTTCCTGACATGCATCGCCCTCCAGGGTCCCATTAGTACTTGATTCCCTTCTTTTCCCTGGCAGCACCACCCTTGATGGCACCTCCTCCCTGCACAGTACCTGTGCAAGGCTAATCTTCACACACCACGTGATCCCCTGGGGCTTAGCTGGTGGAGCAGAGTTAGTCTGGGCTCCCTCTGCCTGCAGCCAGCAATTGTGTGCTTTGATGCTCCTGTGTAATAGTGCTGTGGAGGCTGGAAACTGGCCCATTGGAGGTTAGAAACTGAGAGACCATCTCAGGCATCATCAACTCCAGTCTCACCTCCTGCAGGTGAGATGATGGAGGCCCCAAGGAGTTCGCAGTATGATCAAGACTAAGAAACTAAGAACTTGAGACCAAAGTGCAACAAAAAACCTGGAAGGAAAATTCTGATAAATGGCCCTGCCCTTAGATTCTCAGCCAGTTTGCTGATCACGGGTGCCTCTCTTCCCGCATCATGCATATGCCTTTTCTCAGGTGGAGGTCATTAGGCCAGTTCATCAGAAGGAGAAGCCTGTCTAGTTTGGAGGGCAGTACAGTTCCAAATTGCCTGCCTGATATTTTCTTTGGTGCCATTTGTCCTCTGCAAGTGGCAGTAGCCCTCCGTCATTGGGTGCCTCCCTCTTGCATGTTTGAAGAAGGACCAGCAGCAGAACTGCCAGAAACAAATGTCTCTCCCTGCAGTTGAATTCCATGGATCATAGAAGCTGTGTTAGTGAAAGTTTCCAACCACCAGGAGGGAGACGGCAGGAGGGACGGGGACAGAAACTGCTTTCAGCTAACAGAGAGGATCTCTCCAGACCATTATCTGTTTCAGCGTCCAGACTTTCTTCCCTGGTGGCTCTCTCTGTTAGAGGAGGCAGTGTGGGCTGGAGCAGCCTCCCACCCACAGCCTCTTCCTTCAGTGGCCATCTCAGGAGAAAGACCGCAGACCCTGGAGGAGGGAGCCCTAAGGAACGGCAAAGTAAAGGTGGAAGCTGCCTCCTTCCTGATCTCCTAGTGGGGTGGTAGGGAGCTGTGTTTCATAGAACTAGATCCCTCTAAGTGCAGAACCTCAGAGGGAGCTGTGTTTCATAGAACTAGATCCCTCTAAGTGCAGAACAATATGGTATATTTAGAAGTGGTGGGTAAGAGAAGGGACTGTATCAGCTGTCTGTCTCCCATCACATTGGATTAGACACTCAGATATCCAAATAGAGTTTTCTGACTATGTGGTGCCAGCCCAGGCAGTCACACCATCTCCTCCCTAGGGGCCCGTCCACATTTCCATTAAGACACAGCATTTCCAGCTCTTGGTTATAAGTGGGCCATTTCACTCCACTCATGTTCATGCCACATATTACAAAGAGAGTGAGGCCCCTAAAGGTGGCTCCTGCCTAGAGTCATGCCCTGTCTTCTCTTCTTCTCCAGGTTCCGCCCCATGCCCAGGAGCCCATACTGACAGCCTCACCCAGGATGCTCCTTCCCTCTTCTTCCTCGAAGGCCCCGGGCTTGGACACGGGGACGCCACTGTCCACCCACCACCAGATGCAGCTCCTCCAGCAGCTCCTCCAGCAGCAGCAGCAGCAGACGCAAGTGGCTGTGGCCCAGGTTCTCCTCAGCCTCCTCCCTACTTCGCAGGCTCCACTCTCATGGGCTTGACGCGCCTTACCTAGCGAGGGGCTCAGGGCAGGTTTAAAACCTAGGGAGCCGTCAGGGATCGCTCATGCTGTGGGATCATTGCTTGTTGGGGGAATGGAAGCAGTGGGAAGGGGAGAGATGGGGGATGCATTTGAAATGGGAAGAAACATTTTGGTTTCTCGTGTATCTCCCGCTCTGAGTTGGGCTTGGCTGGCTTGGCTGGATGTTGTTGGATAATGACTTGAACTTACCAAGGACCAAGATGCACACAATTCCACCCTTCCTTTCCTGCCTTATTTTCCTGGTGTTTGGGGTGGGAAGGGATGCCTTTGGAGTCTGACAGGTGTGACTTTCTGATCCACTCTTGAAAGAGCTTAAAGTAAGAATTTGTGCCAAACACCTTTGCAAAGACACCACCCTGGCGTCCCAGCTGCCTGTCCATAACAAGTTTCCACACCTCCATTACTGATCTGCTTATTCTAGGTAGTGTTTGATACTCTCCTGGCCTTGGAATTCATTATAATGGGATTTAACTTACAGGAACTCAAGTGTAACATTTGAGCCATAACGAGAAGAATTGGCGTAGATCTCAGGAGGAAAGTGTTGTTTGAGCTCCAGAGACTTGTTGGGCTGCTGCTACTTTGTTGAGGAGGGGTGAGCTGATTTCTCCTGCTGCTTTTAGCAAGGGTTCCTTCTGCTTGCTTTCTGCGGAGGGCACTGTAGTCCATATCTTCCTTAGAACTGATAAGTCTGAGCTTGGTCTTCGTTTGAGCAATCAGGGAATGAGGAAGACACGATCATTCATACCATTTAAAGGCTGAATCCTGAGTTAAGAGTTAGGGTCAGGACCTGAGTGGATGGATGAAGACAATGAGGAGGGTGAGGCTGTCTGGGTTTGGGAGTGTTGGTGAGAGATCTAGAAAGGCAGCCCTAAGCATCGGCATTCTAAATCTGCTTGACCAGACTGACCTCTAAGGTTTTCTGTGTTCTAGAGTGAGAACAGAGAAGGCTTCTCTTGGGAGCACTTATGGATCCCTGTTGTTTCTTCTGCTTACTCTTCTCATGACCTTCCAATGGAGTGAATCACCCAGATAAAGCTGTCCTTTCCAGTGTGTACCCCTTGAGGAAACATCCAGCAGCCTAATCACAGCAAGATCTGCTACGACTTGGGTCTTGAAAAGACCTTGTTATAACACAGCCTCACACTGACCTGGGCCTGAGGCACGAGTCTCCTGGATGCCTTTTGCAGCCAGGTTTCGAGAGAGTAGAATCAGTGGGGGCACTGCTCCCAAGTGATTTGAGCCTTGTAAAAAAATTCTGACCATGAAACAAAAGGATGTGTGCTGATGCTAGGAGGATTTGCAGGTGTGCCCAGAACAGTAACAAAGAGGAGGAATGTCATTAATAGCTTCTCATAGTTGGGGGAAAAAAATCATCGCTCTTTGTCAAATAACAGAATTCATCTCCTCTAGTTAATGACGGCGTGGCAGTCCCGAGGATCCCCTCCTCCCAGGTGTGATGGCTGACAGGAGCACAAAGCCTGAGCGCTCCACCACAGGGCCGTTCTCTGACTCACATCATTTCCAAAAGTTTTCCGTTGACTACAAATCCATTCTCCATCCATAATACTTTTCTCTTTCAGCCTATCAATTGCCAAGTAATTATTATTTATCTAAGAATGGGCTTGATGCATATTCATGATGAATATTATCAGAGAGGCATTTGAATTTGAAGTCACTGCTAAATACTAAAGAGAAACTGTTTGCAAATGTATAATCTACACAGCAAAAAGAGTGTGGTGGCAGTGAAAGGAAGCACTCCATCTATAAAACCACCAGACCTGTGACTTACCATGGGTCGACCACAGTCGGGATGAAACCCTAAGAGCAGTTCTCTGGTGCAGAATCAACCGTCTATCTCAATGGGCCATCACTGCCCTAGTCCTAATTGAATTGCCTCTCTCCTAGAAGATAGCGCATCCAGGGGAAGGGAAGAGCGTGGTGTTTGCAGTTCATTTCATGAGCTTCTCTCAGTTGCAGCCACTTCCACAGGCTGGGCACTCTTAGCCTCTCACTCAAAATCTGTTGATTAGAGTTGGCGGTGGCCTGCTTGACTCTCAGTTGGAGCAGTGACGTGATTGAAAGGCCACCATAGTGCATCCATATCCCACATTGGTGAGATGACTTTAGGGTTGTAGACTTTCAAAATCTTGAGGTCGCATAGGACCTTGAGGTCATCAGGTAGCTGCTTGAGCATACTCCTCTATCCCTCTCTGCCATCCCCATCGGGCAGTCTCTGGCCACCTTCAGTTTGCATCTTCCTTTGCTGCCAGGAATGCAGCGGGAATCTGGCTACCCTATCCTCCAGATGGATTCAGTCCTAAACCAGCCTTCAGGTACAGGTTTCTCTGCACATTTCTCTTTCTTCCTCGCTTTGTAGCATTTGGTCCAAGAGCTTTTTATTAGTTTCCATATCTTTGGGTAAAAATAATTATGTAAGATATGTAAGTGGATTAGTAGATAGGTCTTCTTTGCATCTTTCCCACATTTAAAATAGATCAAATCTGGCATATTTGGTTTCTCTGCACCGGTGGGACTGATTTCAGTTTCCGGCCGAGGTCAGCTTTTACTTGTCCTGTCAGACTCCATCACCACCAAACTGCCAAGTTTCTGTCTGTCTTCATTAAACTACCAGCACTCCCCAGATTCCAATGGGTAATACTGTGACCTCAGCATTTCAAGTGGTAACACATTTTCCTTTTCTCTGGGAACATCTGCTTCCTATGTGGCTCCTGAGAAGACAGTTTCTTGCAAACAGGTGCACTCTTGGGGTCCCTTGTTGTATTATTTATGCCCGCCCTTTACTCTCAGAGGCCAGTGTGGTTCTGCTGTTATCAATGGGACCAGGCTTACGTCTCCTTCATGGTATTCTGATTTGGTCTCAGACCCCAAGACCTCTCCCATCCTCTCCCTAAGTTGGTTCAGAGCTGTTCTAAAAGGGGCCTGCCCAGGCCTTAAAGGGCCACGGGCAAAGGTGTTGTTCAACCAACTCTTAAGCATTTCTAGGTTAGACCTCATGTGTAAATAGTAAATTCCCGAGCCCCCCTGACCACTTCCCCAGCCCAGCATGAGGCTTGCCTGGCTGCACTAGCTTCCTGCTTTTAGAGGGACCAGATGTTCAAGGGTGTGAATGAGAGGATAGCCAAGCCTTGAACCAAAGCTGGGATGTAGCTGGCACCCGCATGGCCATGGCTGGGCCTGCCTAGCTCCAGAATTGATCTGGGCACTGCGGCTGACTGGCAACTGTTAAATAGGCCAGAGTCCTTCACAGTCTGTCAAATCCTGGCCTAGCTTATGAAAAAACTGTTAGTGCAGCTCAGTATTGCTATTTAAAGATTTCTACTCTATCTGCTGCCACTTGTGCTCGTTCTGAAACAAGTGATTGGTTACTCGTGCTTCGCGATCGTGTGTGCTGTAGTTAGAGGAACAGCGCTAAAAACACTCCGCACCCACCCCCGGCCCTAGATTTAGCATCTTGTCCTCGTGGCTTCTCCCGGTCCCCAGCACTCTGGGTGCCCTGCCCAGGTCCCTGCCTTATGCATGCTGAGACAGTGCCACCTGCCTCTGCTTGTGTGTCCAGTGTGTGGGGGGCAAATCGCTCTGGTTCTCTCCACTGCCATTTCCATGTGCCTGCTGCTCCCTAACTTCAGCCTGGCCCTGCCCCCACTTCTGATGGAGGAGCTGGAGTCCAGGCAAGTAGGCTGGAGAGCGAGTGGGCAGTGGTCTGGTGTTGCTGGGTGGGTTGAGGGTGGGTGGCAGAGTTTTGGGAAGTGGCATAGAGCTGGAGGGTGCAGGGTTGAACTTACACTTGTCGTGCTGTGGCCGGGATGCAGAGCTGGACATCCGAACACTGCACTCCAGGCATGGCCCTCCCACTGACTTAGTCTGTGACCGGAAGAATCGTTGCCAAAGACCACACAGCTCCAGAAAGGGGAAGCTAACTTGTACCTTTCCAGAAATTAATATGGTCTACCTTTGTGAACGGTGTTTAATTCTTTGAAAGAAAAGTGCACAGAATAGAAATAACAATCCCGTCTAGTAGGGAGGAGGTGGTGCTATCTGCCCCTGTTGTATGACTGAGGGAGCGAGCACACAGCTATAGCCAACACCCCAAGCCAAGGCTGGAAATAATGCTGCTTCGTTTTTGGAGCTTCAGTGCCAGACCTCCATATGCAAAACACAGGGACTATTAAATTGCCTCAAATTTAAAAGCAGTCCAGGCCCTTTAGTCTCAATTTGGCTTGGTTTTGGGTTCTCCTGTGGCGCAGCCTGCTGTGATGAAGGGTTGGAGCCTCATGCCTGATGCCACTTTGACGGCTGCAGAAGCAGAAGAGCTCGTTAGTGCTGGTTTGGGGCAGCGGCAGCAGCGTGTGCTTTCGCATTCCCAGGGTTTGAAAACGCCTGAAATGTTAGAACTCTGCATTTGCAAAGCTAAAATTCTGATTTAATCTGGTATGAGTTGCCCTCAAACTCAGGAGCATTTTCTCATGGCTAGTGGATTTGTGATGGAGGCATTGATTCAAGGGTCTTCTTTTATGTATTGATGGTATTCCACCATTAGAACTTGGTTATCTGCAAAACAAGCTGCCAACTTTTCCCCCCGGCTCCTGTAGAAGGGAACTCCTTCTTTGTCCCCAGTCCTAATTCTCTGACTTTACAGTGGGGATCTGGAGGTTTTCTTCAGAGAGCCTTTAATGAATGCCCCCTAGTACCGACCACGGTGTCCACCTGGGTGTGTAATGTTAGACTGTTCGAGCCTCTAGCCAGCCTTCTCGGTTGAGAGATGGAGAAACTGAAGTCCAGGTAGAAGTGAATTACCTACAGTTGCACAGGGAGTAACCAACAGACTCGAGCATTCCAGTTCTTGGTCCAGTGTTCTCAAATGGCCTTGTCTGTTGAGATGTTCAGATGTGGGATGCAAGTATAGTGTGTGTGGGGAGCCCCCCCGCAGATGCCAGTTAGTGGAATGCAGAATTTTCCGCTTTCTCTGTTTACAGGCATTGAAAATTTTGTTCCACATTTCTGCCTAACGTTTCTGTTTTGTTCCAAAGAAAATAGAAAAGGGATAATTAACAATTCTGTCTGCTCAGTAGATTCCTTTCAATGATACTCTTAGTTGGAATAAGTTACATTACTGGCAGGTGGAGGGTGAAGGTGGTCCTTCCTCTGGGGGCACATCTGGGGGCTTCCTACAGCAATTGTCCTATTCCTCAGAACCAGTAGGATTTGAGGGACTCTCAGGTGAAATATTGCCATGCCTCAGTTTCCAAGGAAGATAAAGGCTTAATAGCCACTCACCATCTGATATCCATCTTAAAATATTATTGCTACTTCTTTCGTTGTTCTCACCCTCTCTAGATCTTTCTGGAATTTATATGAGGCAGTAAATGAGGCTGATGTCTCAACTAAAATATCAATTCTGTCCTTAGCAATGCCTTAGGGAGGACAGATTTACTTTAGATTCCTTAAGCATCCTGCCCCTGGGGGAAAGATGGGCCCAACCTTGGGAGCCACTAATGGAAAGCGGCAACTAATCTCATTAGTGGCTCCACTTAAAAGCAGAGCCAACTGCAAGGTCAGGTCCTCAGATCTGGGCAGGGAGGGAAGCAGCTGCTGCAGCCAAGAGTATGATTCTCTGAGTGCTGGCTGCTGGGAGGGGCAGACACTGGGCTGGCAGGTCCCTGGTCGGGCCCGGCCAGACTGTGGGGTGGACATGGTCTTTTACTACCTGATAAAATGTGAATCTCTTTGGAGCAATCTGCTCTTCAGAAATCCAGAGCATTTGTTTTCTGAGCAAGAGAATCAGCTAGCTCTTCCGACTCCCCTCCCTTCTTTCTCCTCCCCTCCTCGTTCTACCTGTCCTGCCCCAATCAGCCTGACTCTGTGTCTTTATCCACACCATGTTTTTGGTGCAAGAAGACTCTTTCCCACACGCTGCCTTGGTCCAGGTCACCAAATTCATTAGCTCCCTTTCTTCAGGGGCCTTCTGACACCCTCCACAGAGACCCCTTTATCTACTTCCAAGCACAAGAATCACATATGTGTGTGAACATTGTTAGTGCCCTGTGACTCAGTTTCTTCAAGCCAGGGTCCTAATATAAATGCCCCACATCTCCTCCCCCTGAGTTTTCCCACACTCGATTACACACCAAGAACAGACACTACTGGGTTGTAAGCATGCTGGGTGTGCCACTGCCAGCTCTTCTACCATGAGAGTTGATGTGGGTCCCCTTCTTCCCACAGAGGGCAGCTCTGTCAGCTGTTCACCTCAGCCCTTCCAAGGTTGCTGGAGGATGCCCTGTTATGCCCTACTAGGTATGAAGCACTGTCCCAGGTGCCCTGGGAAATAAAAAGGGAACGGACCATCAGGGAAAGAAGCTGACACCCACAGACATGAAAAACCAGGCTTTATTATGACCACATCACTAATTTAGAAAGGGTATGTGTAGGGCTTCCTGTTTCTCATTATGTCTGGGTGTGAGGAAGGGGTGAGGAAAGATCATATGGGGGTTTGCTCTGACGTTCTTAGTTAGTGGGTCAGTGTATCAGTTTTTGGTTTTGTTTTTTAAAAGACAAGATGAGAAAAAGGTACCTCTCTCAACACAGCAGTGATATGTTAGTTACTAAAGGAGTTCTGACAGGGGCGGGGCAGGGGCTGGGGGATGGCTCTTTCCTGCCTCTCGCCCTTGGTGTGGGGCCCCGAGTGGTACGTGAGTGACATCTCACCACCCTCACCGGGACCTACAGAGAGGTGTGCAGGGCCAGTGACCCGGCTTCTTTGGCTCCTCCTCTGAATTACAAGCCCATGTGCCCATTTTCCCCGGGAAGGGCTTCTTCAACTTGAATTGAACATGGAAGGCTTTTCTGGTCCTGGCTGTCCACTGGTGACTTTCGTTTGCATTCACGTCCCTCTCTCCTCTCTGTCCTGTCTTCTCTCTGTCTTCTCTCCCTCCTCCTGCTCTCTGCAGGTTCACTTGCTGAAGGACCAGCTGGCTGCTGAGGCTGCGGCGCGGCTGGAGGCCCAGGCTCGCGTGCACCAGCTCCTGCTGCAGAACAAGGACATGCTCCAGCACATCTCCCTGCTGGTCAAGCAGGTGCAGGAGCTGGAGCTGAAGCTGTCAGGACAGAACGCCAGTAAGCCAGAGCCCTGCCCCGCCTCCCCTCCCCCCGTGGAGCTCTGGGAAACACGTTCTTTTCCCTACAGCTTTGGGCAGTGCTTTATTGGACCTTTGACCTGCCCTGGTGTTCCAGCAGAAAACAAAGGCAGCTTTGTTTGTCCCGTCCATACATTTCATGGAATGACAGAATGGCAGGGCCAGAGAGGGTCTTGGCTGCCTTCTAGTCCTGTGTCCAGACCTGGTCTTGAATGTCCCAGAGGTCACTGCCACATGCTCCTGCAGTCTTTCCTTGATGGGGGCTTGGGCACTCCAAACCCTGAGGTAGCCCATTCCTTTCTCAGAGGGCTTTTCCGGGTGAAATATGCTGAGCACCTGTTGTGTGTCGTGTTCTCTGTGAGCTCTGCGGGAGACATCAAATCGTATAGTAGTTTATTCCCTCTGCACCATGCATTTCACAACTCTGTAGCCTAGAAAAGGGTGGCAGCAGTGTATCTACTTAATGGAGAAGGAAGAGTAACTGTGGCCAGACAGCTCTCTGGTTAGTGGCAGAAGTTGCCTGGCTCCTGGCCTGAGATGCCTGCCTGTACCCCCAGCTGCCTCCAGGCTGGACTGGAAAGTACTAGAAGGCAGTGCATCTCCGCACCTTCCTCTTGAGTTTATCCATGAGTTGTCTGCATGCTCTGCGTGTTGGCTGTGGACCAACAGATATCCATTGGTCATCTATTGTGCCGGAAACTGTGATAGAATTTAATAGACATGATCTTATTTGATCCCTGTAGTGGTAGATGTCGTTATGCCCATTTTACAGATGAGGAAACAGACTCAGGGAGGTTAAGAACTAGCTCAGGGTTACAGGACTAGCAGGGTGTAGAGCCAAGAGGCAAACTTGGGTTTAACTGCAAACTGATGCTTTCCCTGTTATACGGGTCGTTCTCCCACACTATCCTGAGAGCTTTGTAAAAAATAGATATCCTCAGGTCCAGCCCACAGAGAGTCTGCATTGGTAGATCTGCGCAGGGCTGGGATTCTGTATTGTTTAAAGTGGCCCACAGGTATGGATTGAGAACCACTGCACTTCACCACTCTGGAAGCCTCTCTGGATTTTTATTTTTGTTTTTTGAGACCCTGCTCTGTCCTAATTAATACCAGTTTACAAGGTTGTCCTAAACATTATCGCATGCTTTTCCCATGGCCCTCTCAATTTGTACCTTTTCCCTGTCACATGCCCCATTGAAGGCATCCGCTGGCCCCCCAGCTCCTCACGTGGTTGTCGTTGCCCGCCTTTACCGAGGTCCCAGAGCTCCCCCGCTCCAGCCTGGCGTGCCCATGCCTTGGGTGGGGGCCGGGGGGAGGGGGAAGGAAGGGCTGAAGGGCTGAGAGACCCCAGACCCCCGTGAGGGGCCGCTCAGTGGGTCGGGGCGCAGGCCGTCAGAGGGCTGGCTCCCCAAACCCCCCACCTTGCTAATGTGGCCTGCTCCCCCTCTTGTCTCCCCGCGCAGTGGGCTCCCAGGACAGCTTGCTGGAGATCACCTTCCGCTCCGGAGCCCTGCCCGTGCTGTGTGACCCCACGACCCCTAAGCCGGAGGAGCTGCACTCGCCGCCCCTGGGCGCGGGCTTGGCCGACTTCGCCCACCCGACAGGCAGCCCCTTAGGTAGGCGCGACTGCTTGGTGAAGCTGGAGTGTTTCCGCTTCCTCCCGCCCGAGGACACCCCGCCCCCGGCGCAGGGCGAGCCGCTCCTGGGCGGCCTGGAGCTCATCAAGTTCCGCGAGTCGGGCATCGCCTCGGAGTACGAGTCCAACACGGACGAGAGCGAGGAGCGCGACTCGTGGTCCCAGGAGGAGCTGCCCCGGCTGCTGAACGTCCTGCAGAGGCAGGAGCTGGGGGACAGCCTGGATGACGAGATCGCCGTGTAGGTGCCGCGGGGCGAGGAGGCGGAGGAGGCGGCCGTGTGTGAGGGGCCGTGTCGGGGCTGCCGCCCGGGTAGGGGCTGCCCGGCTACGCGCACTGCTGAGGATGCCCGGGGGCCCGAAGAGTTGACAGTTTCAGAAAAGGATTAGGATTCTGCTTTGGAGGGTCAAGTGGGGAAGAAATTGGATTCCCAGAGGTGAATGGGCTCCTCTCTCCTACTTGTGGCTACAGGATGGGAAGGGCGGGGCCTTCCAGAGCTCGTGGCTTTGGGAGAGGGTCCCTCTTGAGGACCACCAGGCTGCTGAAGGACCTGCTCCCCGCCCGCTCCATCATCAGGCTCCTTGCTCTGTCGTGTGATGTCCCAGCAGCCCCCTCGCTCTCCCCGTCTCCGTGCTCCCGACTATGAAGGGAAGCCATTGGTACCTTCTCAGGTACTTGGTGTTTGGACATGGGGATGCTTCGCTTGCCTACCCCTCCCCTGACCTTATGGGAGTAATTCCTGCTCTAGGCCCTGGCAGAGATTGTAGAGGTTGGATGCTCTGGGCTATTAAAGACGGGATAGTCCTTTTAGTGCGAGTGTGAAATCGGGATGTGTCCCATTGGATAAGCTTTCAGATGAATTGGATCCAAACATTTTCTCTAGCCGGATGTTAGGTGTTGCTTCAGAGGGAGATTGGCAGTTTAACACGGTTTCGGCCTTTGCTGTGAAAGCCGGTGGGGAGGGCAGCCTCTCTCCTGGCACATATCACTTAGGACTGACTGTTTAGTGTGGAAGCCCTGCCCACCTCCTGCCTGCAAGCCCAGCTCATCCACATGGAGGCTGGGAAGCGGCCCCTTCTCTCCTGTGTCCTGCCTCAGGGACTGTGCCAGCTGAAGCTTCTGTAGCACTCTTGCCTCTATGGAAGCCTCAGAGACCCAGAGCCCCCAGCCTTACCTCTCAACCTGTCCCCTCCACTGGGCAGTAGTGGTCAGTTTTTGCTGCAAAAAAAACGAACACAGGCTGGTAGCTGAGATAGCTTACATCCACTCTTCAGAATCACTGCCACTTAGGTCAGGGACCATAGCCGTGTCACCCTTGACCTGTCTTTCTGTGGGTGTGTGCCTCGAGCACACCTGTAAGAAGTGCCCTATGCAGGTCTCTTATCTTCTGCCATCTAGGTCCTGCCTGGAGATCACTCAGTACAGTGGGCTGATGGGGGCAGGGAGGACAAGCTCCTTTTGCTCCAGTAAGGCCATCAGTGGCTGTTAACTGATTTAAAGATGCCTGCAGAGAGAACTGAGATGTGCTAGAGTCATGTGTTTGGGGAATTAAGTCTTTATCCTGGACAACAAGCTACAGACCCAGACTGCAGTATTATTTGAGAATCACTTGGTAAGGATATGGTTGCCCCAAAATAGAGTTCTTCAACCCTAACTTTGCTTTATAATTTATATAAATGAAAGTGCAGGTCTTTTCTTATAGCTACAGTTGGATTTCTTCCAGACCAGAAAGTCCAAATTAAAGGAAATAAATGCAGCTTTATGTTACTTTCCTTGGTGCATCAGGTGTCAGTGGAAATAGGACGGGTACGTGTGTGTGGGTGCACGTGTGCTTATATGTACACACGTGTGAGAGAAGGTGATACATGTGTGTAGGGCTGTGAGAAGTGACCAGAGAGAAAAGAATGGGAATCTCCAGGGTGTTTGAATCAGCAGTAAGTTTGTGTTCTTTTCTTAATGTGCATTTAGTTAGAAAGGGGTGGTTTTGTTTGTTTTGTTATATTTTCTAATTAACCGTTGGAAGTAGGTCCAGATAAACAAGGGAAGGAAGAACCAGGAAAGTTAGGTCCACAAAACTACGGGAGCGGGTGTCAGGAATCCAGTTTGGGCGAGCCTAGCTAGTTTACAGAATCCTAACCTGGGCTTCCTTGAGTGTGGGACCACTTAGATGATTAAAATTTTGAGTGTTCAGGGGAATGGAAGGTCTGGCTTCTGGAGGCCCAGTGCCTGCGAGCAGGAGCTGAGGATCAAGCCAGAGGCCAATGGATTCGGTGTGTGGAAGGTGGTAGGAGAGGGCTTGTATGGAGTGGGGCAAAGAGTGGGTGGGGAAGATAGTTTCTAAGAGCGTCTTGAAAAGCTTGCAAAGGGAAAGAAGAAAGGAAATGGAGGAGAGATTAAAGAGTTGGAGAGACTGGTTAATTGCACTGCTGTCTTGGGACCCATTCAAGAGCCCTGCCCTCAGAGTGCCCCATGGTGGTTTCCACCTGCCCATGCCCATCCTTTCCCCAGGCTCTCTCTGGAGCGCTGGTTTGTGTGTTGGCATCCTCCCCAGTTTGATCCAAACCAGCGCACACTGGATGTGTGGAGATGGGAGACAAAGGACAGGTCTAGAGGCCTTGAAGGGTCACCAGCCGCTGGGCAGGAAAGGGAACGTTGCAGACCTGATTTCCCGGCGATGTCACCCTGTCCTCCTCCCTCCTTGCTTCTTGCTCTGCTAACTCAACTCTTGCACTTCTCTTTTTTAATCTTTCTACTCTGCCCTATATGGAGGACAAGTGGACACCAGGGGCACCTACCTTATGGGTCCCTGCCCCCGCCTGCCCCAGGTGCCAGCAGACTCTTGGGCACACAAGGCTCTCACAGTTGCAGAGCCAGGAAAGAATTTCTCTGCACAGATGGACTGTATATTGGGATTGAAAATGATACTCCTTATATCCCTGCTTACATCAGTGCTCTCTGTAAAGCCTCTTTGTAGCCTCACCTCTCAACTGCTCTGGTTTAGGAGCTGGATTCCTTTTATCTACTCTTTGCCTGACTGCTTCTTCCCACCCCCCTACCCTCGAGGCCTCTACTTCCTGCAACTGTTGTGTCATTAACTCTGTTGGATCAACTCTCTGGGAAAAGATTCTGTTCATGTAAGTGCACTTACTCCTTGGATGTTGTCACTAGTCTAGTGGCTTTTGCTAAATAAACCTTTCTTATTTCTAAAAGCTTTTCCATTGTCTTTTCTTGCTTCTTCTATTCTACCTGCTTCTTCTCCCCCTCTCACTCCCACCCCACTTCCCAAGCCAGGTGGCATCAGCTCTGTGGCGCACAGTTCCCAAGGGTATGGTGTTTAGAAAGAATTCACGTGTTCCTGCAAGGAAGGTGGGGCCTTCAGGTGCAGTTTATATAGACCAGCCTTGTAGGGTCAGGCTCTGCCACCTGGGACAATTTTGCTCCTCCAGGGGACATTTGGCAATGTCTGGAGACATTTTTGGTTGTCACCACTGGGGGAGGGATGCTATTGCCATGTAGTGGGTGGAAGCTAGGGATATTGCTAAATATTCTACAACGCACAGGACAATCCCCACAACAAAGAATTATCCAGCCCAAAATGTCCGTAGTGCCCAGGTTGAGAAACCTGGTGTACACTCGTTTTTTCAGACTCTCCCAATCCCAGGTCTTTTCAGACTCCAAAGCTGTTGGAGTAGATGGGCTGTAGCAGCAAAGTTTGAGTGCTTAGAAAAGTATTACATCATAGATATTTTCAGATATAACTAAGATCATCAAGTTTATAAAAGTTCATTGACTCCCTGACTAAATGTCTGAAATATGTAGCTGGTAGGATTCTCAATGGATCCATTTCAGAAATGTCCATACTGGAGGCAAAACAGGCTCCTCCTGACCCCCACCTGCAAGGATTACGATGTCACTGCAGCACAGCTCACTCATTGGCATGTGGGCTTTCCTGCAGGGAGTAGAAATGAAAGGGGAGGAGGAATGCTGGTGAAGGGGGTGGGGGGAGTGGCTGTTCGAGAAATGAGGAGCTGCAGGGTCTCGCAAAACCGACATTCTGGAAACCTGGAAAAAATTCTGAAAACTTTGGCCAGAATTTTTAGCCGTTTTGAAGGCAGAGGGTTTGTTAAGTCTTTGTCAGGCGCAGGCCTAAGGGAAGGTTGGGAGGGTCAGACCAACCAGGTTCACGTGCCCTCTGCCCTTTTCTGGCTGAGTGAACTGAACTGAGCCTTATTTTCTCATCTGTAAAATGGGGACGAAGCTATAATGAAAAGTAAATGAGACTGCATTTTAAAAGCACCCAGTAGGGTGCCTGGCAGCGGCCCAAGCCAGGCATGAGACAGTTTATCTTCTAATGAATTGAGGAGGAGGGGGAGGCTGGCCTGTGCTGGTCAGTACAGTTCTGCGCTCAGTGCATTTTCTGCTGTGCTGAAACTTTACTCACAACTCTGTCCTGAGAAATTTACTGGAGTTGTAATGATGCTTCATTAAATGTGAAAGGTGGAAGGCACCTTGTCCTTAGGGACAAAACACTCAACTCCAGCACCTGCCAGGCAGCGATTGGAATATGCTGTGGCCCTGGGCTCAGTCCCCAGCCGTTGGATGGCTTTCCTCCTTTTTTTCGTGTTCTGTGCCTGTGATGCAGATGCCCTGGAGGAGGGGATGTGGGCTGGGCAGAGGGTGCGAGAGCAGATGAGGAGTCCATTCCTCTCCCGGCTCTCCCGCAGACGGTGGTGAGACCATGAGCAGCCTCCTCATGTCCGTCCCCCTGTCCTTCTCCCTGTACTCCCTCAAGAGCCCCATCAAGGGGACACACATGCACAGTGATGTGTGTGAGGAGTAGCCTTCGAGTGCTCAGGTGGCTTTTCCATTTAGGGAAAGGAGGTCAGAGGGAGGACTGAAGACTTGCCCACAATCACTCACCTGCTCCCTCAGGGAACTGGGCCCTGGGAGTCATGTGTAGGTTGCCTAGAGACCACCCTACCCCAGAGTGGACTCCTGGCCCCTGGCCCAGCGGGAGCCTGCAGTCAGGTAGACTCGAGGACCTGGCTGGGTAGGTGGAGGGTGGGAGAAGAGCAGGGTGAGGAGCAGGGGATGGGATGTGGGGCTGAGTGGTCTCACAGCATGGCACGTGGTAGGGTTTGAGTCTAGCCTCTCTCTCACTCTGGGGGGATGAAGGAACCATAAACAATGTTTTAGCAGGACTGTGATAAGCTAAAGCGACTCTGCTAAACCATAAAGTGGGGCTTCGGGAAGACTTACTGTATGACCACTGGAAGGTAAGGGGATACTCTCCACCCAACTTATTGGCCAACCAGTGGGGAGGCAGAGATAAAGGGGGAAGATTGGTGCCAGGGTCCCTGAAAGGAAATGCCCCACTGTGGCAAAAGGGCCCACTGAGTCATTAGGGAGATGAAATGAGAGGTAAACAAGGCCTAAAAGTAAGACCATCAAGCATTCAGCTTTTCTTTTTCAACAAAACAGCAAAACAGATGTCCTTGCTGCATCCCTGATGCTCACCCATTTTTCTGGGTGAGAGCTGGCAGTGAGGTTTGCTCAGAAATGGAATGAGAGTCAGGGCTGTCTGCTGGGACATTACTTGGTAACAGGAAGCAATGTTTTCACATGGTTACCTGCCTGTTTTGACATGACTCAACACAGCCATGCAAAGATGCCCCTGGGTCAAAAACGATTCTCTTCTGCTTCAGCCAGAAGTGCCCCTTCTAAGTGAAGGATCGTGATATGTGTGGTGGGAATGGGTCCCAGCCCTCTTGGCCTCTTTTCTACCTTATTTGTAGGGGCATGTCATCCCCCCCCTTCCACCCCTCAGAAGCTCTAACATCTAAGGAGGTTTCAAACTGTGCAGAGGTTCTGCCAGTGGAACCTTCCACATGCCAATAGGAAAGGGCTTTCAACCCTTCCCCCCTCAGTGAGCTCTCCACTGGTATGGGGCAAGGACTGATCCCAGAGGGACCAGCAAGAAGGCCAAGGTCTTAGGGCAGTAGTTCTTGGGCTTGAGCTGTGTCAGAATCACCTGAAGGGCTGATTAGAACACAGATTGTGGGGCTTACCCCGAGTTTCTGGTTCAGTAGGTCAGAAGATTTCATTTCTAACAGATTCCCCTGGGGACGCTAATACTCCTGGTCTGGGTACCTTTTTTTGAGAACCACCATCTTAGAGGATATTACCAAACTTGAGGTATTTTCTTTAAAAAAAAAAAAAAAAAAAGAGGGTGGGGGGCAGGGAGGTGAGCCTGGTGTTGCTAAGCAACCATTAGCCAAAAGAGAATGGGTTGGGGACCTGGGGCTGGGAAGGACAGCAGGTGGTGCAAGGTGACCTCAGACTTGACAGAAGGCTGTGACTAACTTGGGTTTATTGACATCTCTCTGGAGACATAAATAGGCTTCATCCCCTATTTACCTGAGGGGTCCACTAACAAGAGCTGCCGCCATCCAGCGGGGCTACTTGAAGGCCTGGCAGCTGCCCAAGGAGAGCCTGTCTCCCGGCCGGGCCTTCTCCTTGCACCAGAGGGTTTTGAGCTTACGGTAGTACACCTTGCAGCTGAAGCCCTCCTTGAAGCCCCCTTTGATGTGGCTCTTGAGGGAGTGCAGGGTGGGGTACATGCGGCAGCAGGACGCGCACTTGTAGCCATTCTGCTGGCCCAGGTGCCACTTGGAGGCCATTAGAATGTCTCGGGACGTGATGTAGTCCACGGAGTCCATGCCGTGCCTGGATTTCTTGGTGGCCTCTTGGAGGCAGGTGTTCTCTGGGGAGGAAGAGGACGAGCAGATGCTCTCAGCCATGTCCTCGGGAAGGCAGGTGTCCCCGCTGCCCTCGTCCCGCTGCACCTCTGGGAAGCTGTGGGCCTCCAGGTGGTTCTCTTTGTCCCTGCATATGAAGTAGCTGTAAGGGGAGAACCAGGGCCGGTAGATGGTACAGTTCCGCCTCAGCTGCTCCCCATTCTGGGAGTCCCCCAAGATGCAGTCTGCAAAGGAAAGGGCTGGTCTGAGCCTCAGGCCACAGGCAGCGGGCAGTGAGGCCTGGGGAGCTGAAGGCCGTGGGAGAAGCAGAAAGGCAAGAAGGCAGGGAGTCCGGCGTGACTGCGGGTCACTGCGCACCCCGCCCTGAGTGCGATTCTGAGAGCAGGCGGAAGATGGGGTGGAGAGAGCGGTCTAGGGTACCCCTGCCTGCCGCTTGCTTTTTCTTTTGGAACAAATGGCGGTTTGAGCGCTGGGCAGAGACTCCCCTTTTAATCACTAAGCCTTGGTATTTGTCGGGTGCTTCCCTCCCTGCAGGCACCTTTCCTCTGCCTGCTCTAAGGATAGACAGACAGGTGGCTCAATGGACAGCCAGACCTCTGGCCTCCTACGATTCCTCGTTCTGCCACCAATGGTTGTGGCCGTGTTTCCGGCCTCACTGTCTTCGTGCAGCAGCCCACTTAGGTAGCAAGTCCTGCTCCACAGCAGTCTGAGAGACAGGCAAGGAGAGGCGGGAGGCCTCCACAGGCCTGTGGGTTTCTGCTAAAGGAAGGACCAGATAGGAGACTGCAGGGGAAAGGCAGCAGGTGGTTCTCCAGTGCGCAGGCACCCTTCCCTGAGGGGAGCAGCCCCTGTCCTCCCAGCTGGTCACTTGTGCCCGCCCGAGTCAGAGAAGGCCTCACCTGGCAAGAGCACTGTGTTCACCACCCCGTGCCGGAGAGCGCTGCTTTGGTGCTGAGGTGGCAGGGCCTGTGCGGGGCTGGACGCCTCGGTGGGTAATGCAGTCTTAGCAATGCCTGGGTTACAGAAGAAACACTCCAGTGAGCTGACGAGGTGGGGAGTCCTGTTCTTGGAATGCCCCGAGACGTGCCTAGAGGCTCAACCTTGGTACTTTAAGGCATCGCAAAGCTGAAGCGAAACTATGACCTCTCTCGCACCAGCTGGGCAGAGCTATTCTGGGTGACACACTGGGGAATTCCAAATGGGCAGTTTCACTGAGACCTGGGAAAGATTCTCTCTGATGGAGAATTGAAGATGTGGACCAGATGACAGCTTTCTGCCTGACCCACCCCTCTCCTGACCCTCCTGCGGCTCACCGTGTGTGTGTGCACGCGCGCGTGTGTGTCTGCATTGCAGCCTTAGGCACTCCCCAGAGCTCCAGGAAGGGAGCGACTCTGGTCACAGGCTGCATAGCTGTGTTACGTGGTTCCTTTGAGGATGAAAAGCCGGTTTCTCCAGTTGAAACATCTCCCACCCACAGCCAGAAAGAGTTGAGGTGGACCCTAGCTGCCTTGCATACCCTGGATGGGTGCTAACACTCGGATAAAAAGCCGACCTGCCTCAAATCCCAGAGCAGCAGCTGTGCTCAGTTTGAGAAACAGATGTATAAGTGTCCTGTATATAGACAAACGGATGTTTAGGAGAGCTACTCCACAGAGCAGTACTTCTCAAACCTTAATGTGCATAGGAATCACCTGGAGATCCTGTTAAAAATGCAGATTCTGATTCGGCAGGTCTGGGGTCAGCCTGAGATTCTCCATTTCTGTTTTTTTTTCTTTTTTTTTTTGGTGAGGAAGAGTGGCCTTGAGCTAGCATCTGTTGCCGGTCTTCCTCTTTTGGCTTGAGGAAGATTGGCCCTGAGCTAACATTTGTGCTGATCTTCCTGTATTTTGTATGTGGGATGCTGCCACAGCATGGCTTGATGAGCGGTGTGTAGGTCCATGCCTGGAATCTGAACTCATGAACCCCGGGCCGCCGAAGCAGAGTGCATGAACTTAACCACTGTGCTGCTGGGCTGGCCCCAGATTCTGCATTTCTAATAAGTTCCCAGGTGATGCTGATGTCACAGGTGCACAGACCACACTAGTAAGTCCTCAGAGCGCCCAACTTTATTCCATGATGTGCTTATCAGTTACGCTCTCTCTTAGGTTCCTACTGATAGTCTGATAAGTCTAGATATTCTCTAGCTTGTCAAAACAGGGCTAAAACTAGCACATACTCTTTATATAGATAGACCATTACCTTGAAATTTCATGCAGACTCTAGAGGAAAAAACTTGACAACAAATGTTTCCCTCATCCTTTCCTTGCCAGAAATAAATAATCAGCAGGAACTACTTACCATGAGTGCAGCATTTTGAAAAATTATTTTCTCCCCATGTGTAATTGGACTTTCTCACTAAATCATGGTCCTGTAACATGATCTGTAGAGTACTCAATTAAAAGCTTCAAAAAACCACATTTTTATGGTACTAGTGACAACAGAGTTTACCTGGCAAGCTGGTGGCATGTGAGGACATAATATCAGGAAAAGTGCTCAGGGCAGAGGAAGAGATTCGAGGTCCAGAAATGCTGAGGAGTGAGAAGTTCTCCATCGTCTGACGACCGTGGAGTATGGAGGTCACACACCTGCTGCCGAAGGGCTTGATGGGGTTGTCTAGACGATAAACATTCTGAGCACAGCTGACATCACAAGGAAGTCCCATGATTCCACTCACCAGCTAGTTTATCCCTTTCAAAGATGGATGGAGTCTGTTGCAAGCAGGATAAAATTATTTTGACTTGTCGTTCCTCAGTAGTCTGCCTTGATTGAGAATACCCAGCGAGAAAGAAGAATGTGGTGGAGATTTGATAGTGGCGTAACCTGTGTGCTCCGCTTTGCTTTCCTGTGCCGTTGCTGTCACCCCCCAGCTCTGGGAACCTCTGTCTTCTCTGAAAGACATCCTTGCTTTCCTTCTTCATCTGCCTGAACTCTGAACCAGATATTTTTGTTGTTTTGCTTTAGTTTCTGTTTTTTGGTTTGGGGTATATTTTTTACATTTTCTTTGGAAATAATTTCAGACTTATTAAAAAGTTACAAAAATAAAATTAGTACAAAAAACATCCGTATACCCTGTATCCAGATTTTCCTATTTGTTAACCTTTTATGCGTTTTGCTTTATCAGTTCCCTCTCTGCCTCCCTCTCTCTGACTCTTTGTGTATACATTTTTTTTTCTGAGCTATTTGAAGGTAAGTTACAAACACAAAGTCCTTTTGTACCTAAATACTTCAACGTGTACTTCCTAAGGATAGGGACCAGGTATTGTTTTAAATGGTTCGTGGTATTTTTAGTAAATGACTAAAACACAAATGGGTGGCTTACTCAACACCATTTTGCTCCTTATAGGCAATTTGCTGGTGAGACTGTGGACTCCAGAGTGGCAAGGTTGCTCCTTCTCTTTGCTTCACTTTTGTCATATAACAACCTAGTACGCTAGAGGGATGTGGAATAAGGATGAAAGATGATGATGTCACTTTGAATATAAGCTGAGGGTGCCCCATTCTAGATACTCACGACAGGTGTCAACTAGATACATACAGTGCTTCAGATCTAAATGTGGATGTGTTTATGCTGTGTTGGAAAGCTCTGGCCCACTCCGTGAGTAACAGTGGGCTCCTCTTGCTGTGTGTGGAGTGAGTGTGTGAGCTTCTGCACACGAGAGCCCAGAGTTGCCTTCCTATCTGTATTTATTCATAGTACTTACACATTTGCAAGACAGTGTGGAGACCATGATTTCTTTGTGTGCCTCCCTCATAGCCTGGTTTGGAATGTTAGAAAGAGTTGGAATGTAAATTGACGCCATGGGCTTTGGCAACTTTGAGGCTATTGGCAATTTCCCTTGGCCATCGTGGTGTCGAGAAAGATCATGGGTCTGGGAGTGCACATGTGTGAGTTCTAATCCCCACTCCGCCATTAGTTCCCTCTGCAGTATTACGCAAACCTCTCTGCCACCTGTTTTTCTTCCCATTTTGTTAATTTAGACAGTTGGAGTGGGTGGACATCTTCCTGGTCTAAAACTTAGTGATTTACATGTGGAAATGAGACAGTATAGAAATGAGTGATGCACAGGATCCAGAAGACTTAGCATTTCATCCAGCCTTGGCCCATTACATTCCTCCCACTGCCAGCTAAGTGGAACTTCAGATATACTTAATATAAAGGGGGCTCAAAACATTGGGGAAATATGGGAGGCCACATCAGTTTCTGTTTCTAGAGTTTTTAGAATACGACTGTTTTAGTTTAGTTGTTGAAAAGTTTATGGGAACCTGGTTATCCAGGGTTTGTTATACTCCTAGTAGCAGGGCCTATGTCTTGCATGCTGTATCCTCTTGGTACGTTGTTGCTGGTGGCCCAGGCAGGTGACACTCTCGAAGTGGTCGGTCGCTACATAAAATGTGTCTCTCTCTCGTTTGTTTCCCACTTGCCTTCCGAGCCCCTTTCTCAGACAGGTAAGATACTGTCTTTCTTATGGATGACTTACACCCCCACTGCTCTCCTCTGCTTGGGTGTGTGCATGTTGGGGGGTGCTGTTGGGAGGGCCACTCAACCGGGGTCCCATAATCTTTCTTTCCACCATTGCCATTACTTTCTGCACCACCAAGCTTCCAGTCCCAAGGAAGGGAGGGACGGAGTGTGAGTGTCATTAGTGCATCAGCAGAAAAGGGGCTTATTTCATGTACCTTGGATGTGGAGACGAAGGGAGCCCCAGCCAGAGGCGCTTTGGAGAGAAGGGCAGTTTCTCCCAGCCTGACCTCAAGAGCCCCTGCAGACCACCACCAGAGGAGTGGTTTTGAGTGGCTCTTGTAAATGCAAAAAGGCTTGGAAACAGTTTCTCTACGATGTCAGCCGATAATGCAGTCAGTTTTTAAGTATTCATATAAAAAGTCAATTAAACTAACTTATTAAATGCCTGCCATTGTGCAAGGCCGTATCCTGAGCATTATAGAAAATAAAAATCACTTAAGATGCCACATCTCTTTGAGGAACTTACCATTTTATTACAGAGACAAGATGTATTTGCCAGAAAGACTTAGAGAATTGTAAAGAGAATGTGTGATGGTCTGTCTTTAATACTTAAGAATTCAGTGTATACATTCTGAAGGGAAGAGAGGAAGAAATACAGGATATCCAAAATGGTGCATAATCCAAAAGTTATTTATGTTTATTAGAATGTGTTTTTAAAATAATAATAATAGGAGCTCACAAGTTACGGATCACTTTGACAGGTGTTTTTGGTACTTACACTTTTAGAAATGAGTGTGTCTGCTCTGAAAATTTACTTTAAACCAATGAGGAAACCACCACGGAAATATCTGAGCCAGGAAGTGGCGGGAAGGGGAGAGGTGTGCCTTCCCCAGCATACCTCTCTTGAACATTTGCTCTGCTTTCATGGTGGCCCAAATACTTTCGGCTTTGGGAGAAAATAGTTAAATGCTTTAGTTTCCAAGGGCTTCTCTGCCAGCTCGCAGATTTCATGATTAAAGAAAAATGAGAAGGATGTGATAGGCAAATTCTGCAAAAGTGGGTGACATGGCAAGATACACTCTTAGGAGAAGAATCAGGAGTTAATAACCCTGTTGTAGGAGTGGGTTGGGAACTCCTGCTGGTGTGGTGGGTCTATACCTGGAGCCCAGCCAGCCTGAACCGGTCAGCTCTGCACCCCATATCCCAAGGATGCTCTAATCGAGTTCCTGGCATGTCCCCTCTGTGGTGGTGCGTTCCCTGCACGTGGATTGGGGCAGTTACAGAGATGAAGACCATGGGGTTCATCCCCACAGAGGGAGAGCTCCACTCCTCTTCCCACAGCTTCCTCCTGCTGCCCAAAGACCCTTAGAATATGGCTTATCTAGGTAGTTGGCTCAGAAGGGATATCTCTGCTGGAACCACAATAAAGAGAACTGTTTCCCTGGCCCAAGACTCAGCAGTGCAGGGCACAGAGAACTGCTTTATGCGTAAGTCCGACAGAAGAAAAAGTCTACCCTAACCTCAGTTACTCTTAGGAAGGCTCACTGAAAATAGGCACTTAGCAGAGGTGTTGACTTGGAGAGGAGGCTAGTGACCAAATATAACCTCTTCTTCCCCCAGACTGATAAAATATCTGGGGCAGTTGGGAAGGACAGAAACCTCAGGCCTGTTTCCAAGGCCCCAGAGTGGGTCTGCCTACCTTGAGGATTGAGCTGGATTTCAAGGTGAGGAGAGGGTGCCCCAATGTGAGTATCTGGACAGCATGGCTTAGAGCCCTGAGCTCTAGCCGTTCCAACTACAAACCTTGGAGCTATGATCTTGGCCTCCACAGTTCTCCATCTGCACAATGGGTTTGACACATCAATTCGAGATACTTATTGAGCAGCTACTAGGTACTAGACCCAGGCCAGCTGGTGAAGGTACAAAGATGAATGAGACTTGGCCTCTGCCCTGCAAATGTTTACAACCCAGTGGGTCTACATCCAGCCCTTTGAGTGAATCGTTCTAGCCAGAGAGAGATCCCTAAGAGAAGGATCATCTACTGGGCATGTTTAGGCAACTGTTCTGTGATCCCCCAAGGCTGGGCAGAGTATTGGAAAGAGCCCTGAGCTTTGGGTGAGAAAACCTGAGTTCTAGTTCCAGCCCCTCCAGTAATTAGCCCTGTGACCTCAGGCCTGGCAGTTCATTACTCTGAGCCCCATCTTCCTCATCTATAAATAGATACTTTACCATGCCCCACCTCACTAGGTTGTCTTGAGGATTAAGTGCGCTGGTGCTTGTCAAGGTCCTCCTGCTTTGTTGGCACCAAGTGCTTGTCCATTTGGTGTGACCTGGTTCTGAAGCACCACGTAGCATCTCTCTGCAGGCTGCTGGCCCATTCTCCCAAGTTCCACCTCAGGAGAAGTGAGCAACTGCTGGCCCATTTTTCCATGGAGGAAATGTGCGCCACACATGGCTTTTCAGTGGGGAGCTTCCAGCCCCAGGCCTCGCACTTGCCATCCCTCCACTGGCTTCTGTCCCAGTGCTTGAGTCAGAGAGCTCAGCGTGTGTTCACAGCAAAATAAAAATGTCATATTGCATTGCTTCCTCCTCACTTTCTTACCTCAAAGGGCTTGGTGACCCCAAGGTAAGCGGTCAAGCTGTGAGTCAAGGAGGCAGGTTTAAAGGATCAGTAGTTAGCTTTTTTATGGCTAGAGTTCATCACTGATTAACTTGGTTGAGGCAGAACTAGAATTTCTAGTCACACGTCCCATCAAGAAAACTGGATTAGAAGGTTCAAGAGTGTCTTTGCTGACTAAACTTTCTTGATTATTTCCAAAGCCTTGTGAAGTTACAAGTTGTGGGTGTGGCATAAGGAAAAGACAAGCCCCACTCCCCTCGACTCACTGTCTCCCTGTCTTTCCCTCTTTGTTCCTAGTCGACCACAGCATGTTTGAGAACTTGAACACAGCCCTCACTCCAAAGCTCCAGGCAAGCCGCTCCTTCCCCCACTTGTCCAGGCTGGTGGCCCCCAGCTCTGCCACCCTGGGGTCTGTGGAGCCTGGCGGGCCGGGACTCTGGGTGGGCAGCAGCCAGCACCTCAAGAACCTGGGCAAAGCCATGGGGGCGAAGGTTAATGACTTCCTGCGGAGAAAAGAGCCCTCGAGCCTGGGCACTGTGGGCGGGATGGAGATCAACAAGACCGCGGGGGCCCAACTGGCTGGTGGGGCTGATGTGGAGGACGAAAGGTGAGTGTGTATCCCCCTTCCTGCCCCAACATCCCTACAGTTCTGTGGACCCACTAGAAGAGATTCACGGACGAACTGTGGTGTCTCCAGGGGAGAATGACCCTGAGGAAGGGACGTGAAGTTGTCAGGTGAAGAACAGCTGAAGGATGGGGCGATGTTCACGGGAGCTGGCTTCTGTAACCATAGCTAATGTTTATGAGTGCCCATCATGTCTGAACACTGTGCCACACCCTTCAGCTGCATTATTCTACCTAACTCTTATAACAGCCGTCTGAAGTAGATTATATTATTTCCATTTTGCAGTTAACGCATGTTCAAAGAGGTAACGTGAGTAGCTTAGGGTTACAAAGTTAGTAATTGGCAGAGCTAGAACCCACGTAATGCCCAGAAGCTCCCCAGGTGGGTTCTGATTCCCACCCACACCTGTGAACCACTGACCTGACTGTTGGTAGAAGAGCAGCGGGTGTCTGTCGGAACCCACAGGGGCAGGGGAGGGAGCAGCCTGCTGTGGTAACCCCCCCATTCCCAGGCCTTGTTTTAAACCCCCATGCTCCCGAGGTGGTAGTGTCCTTTACGGGGCTCATTGCGTAGGTTCTGATGTGACGCAGTTTACTGGTGGTCCAGTGTTAACGCTTTGGGCTGCTATGAACACTAAGTGAGGAAGTGACAGGCCAAAAGCCTGTTGTTGTGCTTGACTGCTAAGACCCACGTGCTAAACCCAGTATGAGAGCCCGAAGGGTAAAGCGCTTCCTGGGTGAGGGAGTCGAAAGTGCCGTTGGAGTCAGAGGAGTGAGAATGCAGCAGAAACGTGTCTCGCCATCCTTACAGCAAGTGTGTTTATTGTCCTCAACCGCACAGGTCAGCCCTGCAAGAAGCGTTCCCTCGGCTGGATCCTCCGCCTCCCATAACCAGGAAGCGAACCCCTCGGGCCCTGAAGACCACCCAGGACATGCTGATTTCATCACAGCCTGTCCTAAGCAGTCTGGAGTATGGGACAGAGCTGTCCCTTGGGCAGCCCCAGGACTCCCCTCCCTCTGCCCAGCCTGTCCCAGCAGACGCTTCACAGCCAGAGGCCACCATGGAAATGAGGGATAGGGGCGAGGCTCTGCCCAATGGAGAGGTTTCCCTGTCGGTACCCGATCTAATCCACAAGGACAGCCAGGACGAATCCAAGCTAAAGATGACTGAGTGCAGAAGGGCCTCCTCCCCTGGCCTCATCGAGAGGAATGGCCTCAAACTCAGCCTGAGCCCCATCAGCCTGGCTGAGTCACTGGAGGACAGCAGCCCCCCTCCTCGGGCACGGACCTCCAGCCTTGACAATGAGGGCCCTCACCCAGACCTGCTGTCCTTTGAGTAGAGCCTCTTCTCTTCCCTGCTAGGCACCCCCTTCCCCTCTGCGTTCTCCTCCACTGTGCACCCTGGCCCTTGCCCCAGCTCCACTGTGTCCTTTGCACAAGGCACCTGCAGAGAGCCGATTCTCTCACACAGGCTGTTGCAGGGCCAGAAGTCCACGAGTAGTCATAGTTTGTCTGCAGAATGGCAAAGGAACTGGGGTGCCGTCCCTGATCCTCATTTTCCGTAAGCTCCTCTGGGTGCTGGCTGCAGCCCTTGGATGTTGGAGCTCCCCTGCTCCTGAGTTGTCCTGGCTTCCCACTGAATGGCAGGATCCCCAGCCCTGGATAGGGTTTTGCAGGGATTCTCTTTGCCTGTCGCCACATGCTGGCGGCTCCCCTGCTCTTCTCCCCCCCATGCCCTGGTTCCTTCTTGCTCCTCTCTGGTGGCTCGGGAGGCCTCCTGCCTCAGGGGGAATTGGGCTGGATGAGGAATGGTGGGCCTGGCTTGATGATGGCCCAGACCCGGAAAGCCACACACCCTGAGCACAGCCCAGCTCGGGCTCCTCCTGGTCCCAAGACAGCATGGGCCCCTGGTTGTCATCTTGTCTCTGCCCCCGTGGCTGTGGGCTGGAGAAGATGCTTACCAGCCCTGACACCTTGAGGCAGCCTCGTTGCCTGGGCTCTTGGGTGTTTCCCATCTGGCCAGATGGAGAACACAGTGAGCAGTCCTTGGGCAGGGCACAGAGCCAGCCACCAAGAGCACCAGCCCCGTGTGCTATCTGGGAAGATGCTATGACCAGCTATGCTTAGGATCCTGCACAGAAGGAAGGACCAGGCCTTCCCTTGCTATGTGTGAAGACAGGGCTAGGCAGGCCCCCGCAGAAGCAGCAGAGCATATTCTGATCTTGTTTTCAGGGAGGGTCCAGGAACTTGGCTTTCAGGGCCAAGAGAACCCAAGCAGAAGTAGTGGAGAAGACGGTGAAAACAGGATGAGGAAAGAGCAGTCACCGGGGATCAGAGCAGCTCATCAGGGACCACCCACTGCAGAAATGATGCAGTTCTAGGGTCCAGGCATGGTTAGTGCCAGAGCTAGAGTGGGGAATGTGAGGGAGTGGGACGCAGTGAGAACAGTCGCGGAGGTAAACTACTGTCCATTGAGTGGAGGTGCTTTGCTCTTGTGCTGAAATTGCCTGCGCCTCCCACCACCCTGGTCTCCCTAGAGGGGCCCCTGGCCTGCCGTTCCCTTGTCCTGATGCCACATGGTCCTCTCTCAACCTGCCGTGAGGATCTATGTGACTCGGTTCATCCAACCCCAATTGGCTCCTGCCCTCCTGGGTTAACCCACTTTTGTGTTCCTGTCTCCTGCCAGGGGTCCTGTCGTGCTGTCTTCCTGTGGCCAGGAGACCCTGTCAGGGGGTGATTCCCACCCTGGGGGCCTTTGCAGCAAGAAGAGCACATCCCTTTTCTTGGACAGGGTGGCCAGTTCCCCGGGAGAAGGCTGAGAGGGGCACATCCAGCGGGCAGGCCTCCTTCTGTGACTCCTGCTGCCTCCGCTTGTCTAATCATTGTGCGGCTTCCACCTTTGAGCTCCGGGGCACCCAGAGCTCACTTCCCGCTTTATCTCATCACCCAGTTCCCGCTCTCCTCCCTGCCACCTCTGCCGTATGAGACGTCCAAGCTGACTCCTATAGACTTAGGCGTCTAGGGGGTGGGGATTGCCAGGATGTGGCTGCCCTTCCTGCATTCTTGTTTCTGCAGCCATGCGACCTTCCCACAGCCCTCCCACCCCTCCTCTTCTACCCTGTCTTCCATCGCCCTGGAAAGCAAGGCTTCGCCACATGCTCACAGCAAGGCCTTGTCTCTCTTTCCCCACAGGGGTCCCTGCATGCTGGGCACCTTGCGGGCCGTAGTGAGGTGAGCAGGGCTCTTACTGAATGTGTAGATCCTGCCTTCAAGAATGTCACAAGGATGTGATGTCTGACCTTGATGCTCAGAAGCTCTCAGGACTAGCATCTGGGGGCCTGTGAGTTTTCCCAGAATGGCTTGGGGTTTTGCACAAAACAGAGGTGAGGGTTGGGGCAGAGAACCTGAATCCGTGTGCTGGGAGCTAGCCCAGTTTCATCTGAGTTTCCATGCCAGAAGCATGGTTTGCTTCTCTGATAGGGGAACTTAGCAGATACCTGTGCTCGGGGGCTGACCGCCCACCCCCACCAGGGACCAGGGTGGCTCTGCCCAGGTGATATTGTAACCGTAGGCACAGGCGTTGCAGGCCCGCGCTGGCTTAAGCACCCTGCTCTCCTCGCCACACCCAGCCAGGGCTGAAGTCCTGGCCCTCAAACCCAGTATCAGCACAGAGATCCTCCGAGGTTGTCCCAAGACTGTCACCAGGGTGAACTCGGAGTTCCTCAGACTCGTGTCTGATACCGACTAAGAGGCCGTGGGACCATGCTCTAATCTTAAGTGGCCTCTCTGTGATCACCGCACCATCCTCCTGCAGCAGGGGTGATGCTGCGACCTCGGGGGGCTCTCTGAGGCTGAAATCTAGTCCTAGCTGCTGTGGATGTTGCCTGGTGCTAGGGGCTAAGAGACACCCCAAGGCCTGCAGGAGCATCGCCTTCTGATCCTGCTGAGGGCCTGGGCTCAGACCAGCTCTTCTGTCTCGACAGCCTGACCTTCCTGTGCTTGCAGTATAGCAAGTGCATGCCCCCACCCACCGCACACGTGCACACACACAGCCCGCGCTGAGGCCAGCTTCTCTGGGAGCTTGGCCCCCAGTCGGCCCAAGGGCAGAGTAACAAGGAGGAATGAAGGAGCAGTCTTCTATGTCCACATAAGGAAGTTGGGGCCCCAGAGTCTCTTCTCCCCCAACCCCATACTCAGCACGTAGCTTTACCCTGTTAGATGACACAGTGAGCTTCCAGAACCTGGCAGGAGGATGGCATATTCCCCTGCACGGAGAACAATGTGTCTGTGTTACGTATGTGGACGATATGAAGACAGACATGCATGTAATCTATTGACTACTCAAGAACAAAGAGTTTGGCCCCAGTTTGGGGAAGATTACAGATCTGAGTATTTTCTAGAGATTTTATATTTATATTTTTAGTAATTTTCTGGTAGAAGGACACTGCGCAATAAAATGATTTGGTTTAGTTTTACTGGGTTTTTTTTTTCTTTCTCCTGACTGATGGGAAGCGGTTGGTTTTCTCAAGCCTGAGTTGTCGGGCGGAGAGCATTGGCATTTTCCTTTGGGAGGCTGGAAGAGTGAGATGTGAGGGAGATAGAAATGTGAGGAAGATGGGCGCTGCTGACAGGCCGCCAACCTGAGACCCTTGGGGGAAAACGATCTCTCAGGATATGCCATCATGCGTTCCCCTAACTGGCCGCCATGAAAGTGTCCCTCTTCCAACTCGACCTATGGCTGTTTCAGGAGCATCACCATGACGAGCACAGGTAAGACCCTCCTCAAGAGGAAAGCAGGGAGGAGATGCAAGTGACTCCCAGATTGTCCTTCAGGCCAGTAACTCAACCTGGGGTCCATAGCCGCCTTCCACCAAGGAGAGGACAGAGTTGCGTGTGTGCACGTGTGCAGACAGTATTCAGAGAGGGAGCAGAGCTGCTGCTCTCAGTCTGAGTCATCAGTAAATGTCAGTAAAATCCCAGAGCTGCTGACAGGCCTTCCCCCAGACTGGGGCCACCTTGCTGCTCGCTTATTGAGAGAGTGTGGCTTGCAGCAGAGCTAGCCTGAGCCCCTTTGCTCCCCTGCTGCCCCCAGGCCAGTGTCAGAACCAGGGACCCAGAGGACTCACACAGCTGAGAATCAGTGAGGCCTTAAACTTCCTTAATAGGAGGAAGTGGAGAAGAGAGAGGAAAGGGAAGGAAAAGAGGCATTTAGTCTGTTCACAGAAGCCGAACACATTTCTAGAGGGTGAAGGATGGGGCCTCTCTGCCCAGCCCTTGTCATTTGCCCCCATGACCACGTGGGGGGTTAGAATCTACAGTTCAGCACGCAGTGGTCCCAGGCTCCGCATCAGACGTGTCCTGGGTATGAGGCTGAGTCTCCAGGCTTTTCTGCATTGAATTCCACTCCTACACTTCATTTTTCAGAAGATGTGCAAGAAAACAACGGGTGCTGTAAGGTTGCTCGCTTGCTCTGCAGTGGGGTGCTGCATATTGTTCTGAGAAGGCAGGAGTAATACAAAAACCAAGTCAACATATTCCATGCGTGGGGAAAAGGGCATTGAAAATACAATAGCCACTTTTTCCTTTAAGCGTAAGCTCCAGCGACTGTCCGTGGGGCTACCTCTCCCATTGGATGGCTTCAGGATCTACTCTGCAGTCACGCAGGTGTGAAATGGGCCTTTAATATGCCTTTCTTTCCCACTATGATGCAAAGTAGTTATTTTTGGCTAAGCTCAAGTACGAAAAATTGTGTAAAAATAAAATTTTTTAAGGAAATTTTTAAGTGTAAAAATGGGTATGCATATATTCATATGTCATGTTTTTTAATACTCTAAGCTGAGCCATTGGTCTAGAAGCTGGGGTACAAAGATGCACTTATTCAGACAATATATCCAAGCCCCTACCGTGAGCAAAGTGTGTTTCCGGCACTGTGCCAATGTTGGTGGAAAAGGGAGACCTTATTCTCTCTCCCCCTCCCTCCCCCTCCCTCCCCCTCCCTCTCTCTCCCTCTCTCTCCCTCCGCTATGCTGAGGTGGGTGAGGACGCCATTGTACCTGGCCTCCTCAGCTTTATGCTAACAGGCTGCGTTAGCAGGATTTGAAAATACAATGGAATCACCAAAATGGGGTGGGGAGGGGCGGATTAATTTCAACTGAGTGTTCCTTTGAGCTTAATCTGCCTACAGTACTTGCTGAAGGAAACTAGCAATCATGGGTCATCAGGAAACCCACTTCATTCCTGAAGTCCACATGGGCTGGTGGGGAACCCCAGCTGGTATTCAGAATTTAGTGCATTAGTTAATTCAGGACTATGTCTCAGGTGCTGCCCCAAACTCAGAGAATTCCTTCTTGGTCAATTTACTCTGCTGTCAGACCTTGGAATTCCTTTGAAATCCCTGAATCCTGGGCATGTTCTAAAACTCTCTCTACTTGTACTCTATGTCCTCTTGTCTCCATCTTGTCTCCCCCACCTCAGAGCTTCCCAGGCCAGCCTGGCAGTGGGTGGTGGTAACTCAGCCATGGCTTTCTCTTGAGACTCTGGCCTTCAAGGTCCCCTGGGCTTCACTCAGCATTGTCCCTGCTGGGCCCACCGCTGGGTTTGGGGTGCCCCACCTGGAGCCCCCACTGTGGCTCCTCTGTGTGTGGGAACAAGTAATTAAATCCACACAAAGTAATACAGCTCTCATGGATGAATCCCCACCTCCCCCTGGACAGCTTTATAAGTCCTGACGGC